GCAACGACTCTGGTGGAGGGACTGGAGCACAAGTGCCATGAGGAGAGGCTGACGGAGCTTGGGTTGTTCAGCCTGGAGAAGACGAGGCTCAGGGGAGACCTTCTCACCCTCTGCAACTCCCTGACAGGAGGTTGGAGTCAGGTGGGGGTTGGTCTCTTCTCCCAGGCAACAGCAGCAGGACAAGAGGGCACAGACTCAAGCTCTGCCAGGGGAGGGTTAGGGTGGATATTGGGCGAGTGCTCAGACATTGCAATGTGCTGCCCAGGGAGGTGGTGGATTCACCATCCCTGGAGGTTTTCAAGCTGAGACTGGATGTGGCACTTAGTGCCGTGGTCCAGTAACCACGGTAGGGTTGGACTTGATGATATTTGAAGTCTTTTCCAACCTGACTGATTCTATGATTCTATGACTCTACCTGGGGAAATTAGGTGATTTTATAACTAACTAGATCAGAGCAGGATAATGAGAAAATAAAACAGACTTTTAAAATATGTTCCCCCACCCCTCCTTCTTTCCCAACTCTACCTCCTCTCTGCCAGTAGCACAGGGAGACAGGGAGTGAGGGTTACAGTTAGTTCATGTTTTTTCTGCCACTGCTCTCAAGGAGAGTAGTCCTTCCCCTGCTCCAGCATGGGGTCCCTCCCATGGGACACAGCTCTCCATGAACTTCTCCTAAGTGAGTCCTTCTCACGGGCTACAGTTCTCCAGAAACTGCTGCAAGGTGGGTCCCTCTTCACAGGGGGAAGTCCAGGCCCTCAGGGACAGCCTGTTCCAGTGCAGGTGCCCCACAGGATCATATGTCCTACCAGAAACTCTGCTCTAGCATGGGTCTCCTCTCTCCACAAGTGCACAGGTCCCTGCCAGGAGCCTGCTCTATCATGGGCTCCCCACAGGCTCATAGCCTCCTTCAGCAATCCACCTGCTCTGGTGTGAGTCTCCTCCATGAGCTACAGGTGGATTTCTGCACCCCATTAACCTCATGGGCTGCAGCAGGACAGCACCATGGGCTTCACCACAGGCTGCAGGGGATCCTCAGCTCCAGTGCCTGGAACACCTCCTCCCCCTCCTTCTCCACTGACCTTAGTGTCTGCATAGTTGTTCCTCTCACATATTCTCATTCCTCACCTCTCTGGCCACAAATATTTCTGCATAATAGCTTTCTTTCCTTTCTTAAGTATGTTATCACAGAGGTGTAACTACCACCACTGATTCGCTCGGCCTTGCTGAAGTGACAGGTCCATCCTGGAGCCGCTGTCATTGGCTCTGCCAGACATAGGGAAGCTTCTAGCA